TTATAACGGATATTTTTTTGCTTGAGGAAATTTATTCTACGATTCGTAATAAACGTATAAATGCAAAAAAAACAGGCCACGTATATGATCATTTTTTGAAAAACTTAATATTCTTCTGTCTTTTCCGTTTCTAAATAACGCTTGAGCGGAACCTATTGTTTACAAAAAAGCATATTACTACCTGACTGACATTCAAGAAGGCCTTCTTTAATTCCCCTTCGCGGTAACATGTATGGCAAGGTTTGGTTATGTGCAAGGTCAGGGGTTAGGTTTAAACAAAACGTGAAAAAACTTTTTTTACTGCATTTTGTGCTTCAAATTGCCTACCGATCTCGTCGTTCTTCTCACGGTATAGGCATGTTGGTATACACGTGTCGCAGGAAGAAACATCTGGACAACTTTTTTTATAAGTTAGCAGCATAAGCAATTTTTGTGGCATTCTAACACATATGTATACAAACTGATTCAACCCTCTTTCTCACGATGTAAATGAATCCATAAACAATCATCGCGCAAAGTCTAGGTTTTACCTTTCTTTATGGATTGTTTGGAGATATTATGGGAAAAAGTTCCGTTCCAAATTTTTGGACGGGAATAAGACTTTTATCATGTACGCATAAATTTAGGTCAATAAGACGTTTCAATTATAATCTGGAACATGTTTGAGCAGAAGTAAATGTGATCCCTGGGAGAAGACTTTTATTCGCCTGATGTTTAGAAATCCGTCGCGGATCTTTCATCAGACACAATAGCAGATACAATAGTAGTGGATCCTTAACTTCTTACTAGGCATCATAGAGTTTGGAAAAAATATTTTAGTTAAGTCTCTCAATGTGGTGGTAATTCTATAGTACAGCACAGGGTTCACCACAATACGTAAAGATCTGAAAAAGGGCCTTTTTTCTACGTCTTCTGTAACACCTCAATTGTACCACTGTCACAACGGTCTGGACCTTTTGTCACTTATGCACTAGCTGTTTTCAGAAATAAGTAAAAACGAATGAGCTTGAATGTCGCGAAATTTATTTTGCTGCTGTTAGTGAACGACCAAATGTGCAAGTTGACATGAGCGTTAACGAAGTGAGTGTGCTTATTTTGATTTCACAGAATAACTGCCATAGGAATCCGTGTTACCACCCAATCAGTATCCTTCCCCAAGCAAATTTGCAAACTATGATTTGTTCGAACGAGGCAAAGATCACGAGGTTATCAGAATTTATTAACTTCAGATAATTTCGCGACCTCTTGTTCATCTGCAAATGGTCATTGGCTTTTCCTAAGATACTTAACTGTCCAACATAGGTATCAGTCTATCAGCCCAGAAGCTATTAGTCTTGGATAGGGCGCATGGTGGGGGGGGT